GCCAATTGGGTGATCTCTCTCTGCACACCACAGGAGAGAGGGCCTGTAAGGTGTGTACACCACAGGGGAGAGGACCTGTGTGTCTATGTATGCAGGAGAGAATTTTGACAAGTTTATAAAGTGTTAGAGAGACAGAATGAACAAGATCTGAATCAGGTCAAGGTCGAAGATTCTGGGGAAGGTTTTGCTAACAAGTGATGAGGTAAAATCATCTAACCCCCATTAGCCAGCACTCAAGTTAAAATTTGGCAATTTTGTCATTAAAAGGACTTCGATTATATTTCCCTTATACGAATTTGACGATTTATGAATTAACTGATGTCCTTCGTCACGTAAATGAATAAAACAAGCATTAGATTCTCTGGCGTATCTGACATCACGTCTATGTTCATTATTTTTTTTCAAAGGTCTGCCGGTTTCGCCTATGTAAAATTTCGGGCAATCCTTGCAAGGAATCGTGTAAATACCTGGAGAGGTATCAAGGGCACTGCTGGTTATATTATGCCTAATCAGAGTATTGCGCAACGTGTTCGGGTAAGTAAAAACGATGTCAATGCCAGCTCCTTTAAACATATTGCGTTTTTCATCGAGGGACGGGTTGTAAGGAATAATTAAAGTTAATGGTACGAGTGAGGTTATTTAGTCTATTGAGAAAATCATCGAAATCTGAACGGTTCATTTGCCACGTAAGAAAAATGTCATCAACATAGCGAAACCAAATCGTGTCCGGCGGGAGGATTGACGGAAGTAATTCAGATTCAAACATTTCCATATATAAATTAGCTAGAACCGGGCTGTCTACTTCCCATCGCGATACCATGAATTTGTTTATAAAATTCGCCGTCAAAAGTAAATACATTATTTGCCACACACAATCGTATGAGATCGATAAAGCAATTGACCGGAATAGGGATCCTCTGATGAAACGAAGAAAGTTTCCTTTCAAGAAAATCTAGCACGTCATCAAGCGGGACACTTGTAAATAAGGAATCCACATCAAAACTAACGTTTCTTAACGTGCGTCGGCAAATTTCTAACTTTATCCACGATATCCATCGAATGTTTAATACGACTATCAGAAAAGGATCCCATGAATGGAGACAAAACGCTCGCTAGCCAAGAATCTAATGGGCGGGTGACCGAGTTACAAGACGAAATAATAGGCCTTAGCGGAACGCCCTGTTTGTGAGATTTAGGAAGGCCATAAAAATACAGAATCGACGGATTAATCGTTCTAAAGCGATCAAAAAATAGGGGTCAGGGCATCTAGCAGCAATACGTTTGAGGTTTTTACGAAAAGATTCAATGACCGTGGGGTAAGGGTTTGAACGTAGAGTTATCGTGCAAAAGGGAATGCGCTTTGCGTATATAATCAGATCTATCAAGGATGACAACGTTATTATCTTTGTCAGCTTTGGTGATTAAAATATCCGGATTGCGTTTAAGAGATCTGGTGGCCAAAAGATAACATCGGGGTAAGCCTTTAAAATCATCAAATAAATGGAGAATTGGATTCAACATGACACCTTCAAGATAACTAAGATCTTTAATCGCCGAATTATTTTGTTTAGCAATAAAACTACCAAGACCTTTAATATAATCAAGGCAATGATTAACGCTAGGTTTGGTAGCAAACGATAAACCAAAACCTACGAGCGGTTTCACATCGTGACAGGGAATATGACGACAAATTAACGTCCGTGAGCGAAAATTTACACCAAGCGCAAAGATTATTAAATTCATTGCGGAGGGATCTCTGATGACGTTCGCTTTCAAGGGAAGATCTACGCGCTGCAATGGCTAAAAGATCGTCAACAAAATACAAAATACATGCATACACATATGTGTGTCTCTGTATGTATGTACGTATGTGTGTGTGTATGTATATATATAC